ATTATGTGGACTGTTTTAATACAATCATGATTTGATTTATTAAAAATTGATAATGGCGTCATTATGTTGCGATTTCATGGAAATTTTCAAAAAAGAATATTTTTTGAATAGAGGATAGGTCGTTAAACTAGCAGACTACTACTTTCACTTTCAGGATTACCGGAAAGTAAGCATCCGGCGCCGCTCATGAACAGCAACACCAAAGGAGTTACGAGCGCGTTGCCGGCTTTTTACAGACTCCAAAAAAATGTGGAGGTACTATGTTCTGCTGATTGTTTTTTTTTTTTTTGTATGTTCACCGATTTCTCCGCCATTTATGAACCAATTTCCAAAATTTTTTGTTATTAATGTTATACTCCCGAGAGGGTCCCAGTTTCATGAGGTCAGTATCTGATGATGGAAACCTGGGAAAAACAGAGGGGAACTTTCAAAAATAGTCGAGTAGTGCATCGTCGAGGGATCTCCTGCACTATTTAAGTAGTTGCCATGTGTTTGGGATTGAATGATTCGTATTGGTGAGCACTTTGCCCTAAGTTAGGTCGTAACTGTCATTAGGGGTCTGATGATGAGAACGAAAGACAGCTCAGGGAACTCCTGAACGGTTCACAGTAACTACTTCGTGTTTGAAGTAATGGAGTAAATCTGATGATGGAGCAGGAAGACTGTCGTGAGATCTCTTTTCATTAATTCATTTTAAGATTCATTTATATTGATGAGAACTTTGCACCTATATCGATTATGTAAGTATACTGAAGGTTAGCAGTATATGATGATGGATGTGGATACCATTGACAGTCGAGGGAATTCCTTAACGATTTACAGCACTAAACACTGACTAACTCAGGACAACTACTATTACCGTGATTTTCGGTCTCAAGTAGCCGTCGTCTTTTCATTCGAAAACCATTATCCTTGCTTGCTCTGCCTATCACTTAAAATGGTGAAATATTTTTTTAACAAAAATAATCCGACTTCAATAAGTAAACTAAAAGCAAAAAATAAATTTTCTTTCTAGAAATTAATAAATGTTTTCATTTAGTTCAATAGAAAATAATATTAATAACCATTTTATAACCTTGAAGTCGGTTTATATAAATAATAACATGTATAAGGCTGTTTATAATGAAATTACCTTTCATACCACCGCGTGTGACATCTACATAAAATATAAACCTATAAAATAACCCCGCTATCACTGCCACCCCACCCCACAAGCCCGCACAGTTTGTCAACAATAATTACGCTCAGTAATTGCACAAGTAGAGCAACTATCGCTCGGCTGGGAGTAACACTGTTACCAGCTGTTTCAAATAACGTCACAATCAACTCCGGTACTCATCATTTTAATGCTGAAGGATTTAGGAAATACGGAGCATCAGGTCTCTTTGTCTCTCTACCAATAAACCTATGATGGTAAGCAATTAGAGCCGTCCGCAACACCAAAGAAATACAATTAGATTTGAAAACTGGATGTTAGGATAGAAGATTTTGTATTGGAGATTGGGGATTGTGATTGTGATTGGGAATTGGAGATTGGAGATCGGAGATGGATAATGTTATTGGGGGTTTGAGATTAGACATTATGTATAGGGATTGGGATCATGTAAGTTTTGGGATTGGAAATGTTTGATTTTTCATAGCGGATTTTAATTTGTCATTGGCGATTATGTTTTGGGATGTGTCCGGGGGATGGGGATTGGTATTGAGTATTGGAGATTAGGATAAGAATTAAAACTGGTGTTGTGAAATTGGCTAATCCCAATTCACATCGGATCGGGAATTGGGAATGGTGAAAAAAGGTTGATAATACAAATGTTATTGAACGTTAAAACTTGATACAACATAATTGTAACCTCAGTAGGTACAATAGTGCTAGCTATGTATGTATGTATATATGTATGTCGGTATAATTACCGATTTCTATTTATCTTGATGATATCCTCATTTCCCCAAGAATGTGGTGGCGCCCTAAAACACACGGAGTGTCAACATTAATTATTACAGTTTGTAATTACGGCTGAACACAAACTATTAAACCGTGTAAATATCTTTATAACAGCCGTTTCAGGCCACGATTTTGGTCGGGGGTTGTAGAAACAAATATGGGCTCCAAAATAACGAATTTGTCAAAAGTTTTTTTTATGAGATAGTTCGGCAAACGATCAGACGGGTTAATTGATGGTAAGCAATTTGCGCCACCCATGTGCACCCGCAACACCAAAGGAGTTACGAGTGCGTTGCTTGATTTTTGAGGATAAGGTTATTAGATATCTGGCTTTTTCACAAAACCCCATAACGCCGGCAACGCACTAGGTGTGGGTAGGCGCCGGTGGAGCCGATAGCTTACCATCAGGTAATCCGTTTGCTTGTTAGCAACCTTCTCTCATGAAAAAGAGTCCAATATTATAATCTAAAACTATACCACGGCCTAGGTTACAGGTTAAACGCAATGTCATGTTGCGGTCCAGCCCGGGCAGGAGAAGGCACTGGGTGGTTTTTAGGCAATAAGAGTCTAGAACTCTTTCTTGTCCCACCCAGGCCGAGAGATGTCATGAAATGTTTAAAGGAAATATTTCACTAAGTATGTGTACTGAATATCCAGGAAACGTCGGTTTTCTGTGAGGCTGTGGTATCATTCCGGCCGACCAATGAGTCCACACTTATATTGTGATTTTAATATTTTTTCTATTGAGCTTAGTTTTTAGTATAGGTAGTTATTCTCGACATAAAAATGATTTAAAAAAAGAAATTGGTTGCATTGTAATTAAAACAAAAAAAAACTTACTTAGCTTACATTAATTTCACTTCTTTTCTCTGTATGTACAATATAAATAATTAAGATTATTGAAAATGTCGTCCTACTTAGTATTTAGAAAATATTCGAAATTATAGACCCAATCATTATTTAGCAAAAAAAAATCAGGAACAAAATAAAACAAATTTACTTAAATCACATAACTACTTATAAAAAAATCAAGATAAAAAAATCTCAGATATCCCATAAACAATGAAAAACCCATAATAAATTGAGGAGTTTTGCTTTGGGCTTTGGGCACAGTCATCAATTCTTGGACCCTTAGAGATTCCCTATCGCCTTATTTATTTAGATAGTCGAAATCCCACAATAAGTTATAAGTGCGTTTATCTATACCAACAGTAAATTCATAGAAATATTTTCTTTAACAGTAAATTTGCAAGAAAAGTAAACGTACTTTTCTTTTTTTGGAAGAACTGCTTGAATATTTAGATGTTGGAAATTTTCTTTGTAAATCAATTAATAATGATTTTGTTTGAAATGAATGAATGTTTAAAGTGGCGAACGGCAGAGATATGGTTCAAAAATTTTTATTTGATGTAAGAACTCTATAATTAATCACCCGGTTTGCGAAGAAAGAGTGCTAGGACTCTTATTGAGAAAAAACCACTCAGTGCCTTCTCCTGTCCCGGGCCGGACCGCGGCATATCATTGCGGTTAACCTGTAATCTCGGCCGTGGTATAGTTTTAGATTAATATATTGGACTATTTTTCATGAGAGATGGTTGCTAAATACAAACGGACAAAATTTAAGATATTGAAACAGAGCTTCCTCTCTCCTGTTTGCCTTATTTTGCTGTGCCCTACTGGGTCCATAATTGATCTCACACAAATTGTTTACCACCTTTACCACCTTTAAATGTACTTATGGAAAAGCAATAAAGATATTGAGTATTGAGTATTGGATGGTAAGCTATCGGCGCCCACCTAGTACGTTGCCGGCGATGGTGAAGGATTGGGCCCCCGATAACTTAACTCACATGGCGAAACGCAACGCTGTGGTTGTATTTAAATGACTCTGTTTAAATAATTTGCCACAGAACATATAAGTTTTAAAAACTCAACAAATACATGTAAATAAACTAATAACGAACGCTTTTATTTCTTACTTCACATGAAATTAAACTTTAAGCGAAAAATTCTTTCAGCACGAACTCGTTTCTGTACGAAGTTAACCGCTCCGTGTTAAGTGATCCGTTTCGGATGGCCGGTTTTAAATGTGTCCACATAACTGCGGTAGTGTTAATTACGGTTCGTTTCCGATTTCACAAACAAGACTTTTCATAAGTAATTAAGGATAGCTGGACAATTTGGTTGAAATTTGGCATGTAAATAGGAGATACCTTTTTTTTGTCAGGGTAAAATCATCAAATGACTTTTCCCGTCCAGGGTAAGGCGAGAGAGAGTGAGAGACTCCTTCTCCTGCTTTGGGCTGAGACCCAGAGTGACTCTTTGCGCTTAACCCGTAATCCCGGCTGAACAACAGCCCTATACAGCCCCGTCTGTGGTGGTCTATTGGCTCTTTGAGGCGCGCTGGGGAGATATGAGAGACCCTGGATTAATACATAGACTGCATTTTATTAACATACCGCACGGGCGAAGCCGCATGCGGAAACAAAGTACAAAATAACAGACTCTTCCTGATCCACTCACAGGTGGGGTCCAGGATGGCCGGTATCCAGCTCAGGTTGGCTGTACGCAGTGCAGTGTAGTGTGGTTTATAGTCAAAAAGAGCTTGACACTTGCCTAGTCCCACCCAGGGCAGAAGTAAGACATAGGATTAGCCTCATTAAAAAATTGTTTAAAAAGTAACGCCTGTCTGCCTGGTAATCTCTCGAAATCATGCTGTAATGGATACAGGAATTTAAAATTTACAGAAAAAGAAAAAAAATGTTTGATAGTAATAAAAAATTAAAATAATCAATACTCAAAACTCAATTTGTGGGCCCACGTCAGATATTGAACAAAATCTATTCTACTCTAATAAAAATAAGATCAAGTTCGACTTATTCTACCTATCTACGTACCTACACGAGATATTGCGTAACGCATAAAAATATTATTGTTAAACATCAATAAAAACATATAATATAAATCTAGTTTTAATCAGTGATTATAAGTTAATTAAAATCACAGAAGTGTAAAGTTTACTTAAAACAAAATTCACAATTTTATTGCAAGAACGATGGTGCCAACAGCAACTACCGCTCTTCAATTGCTCATAGCAGTATGCACGATAGTAAGTCTACATAATTATGTTTTTTTTCAGTATTTTTTATGAAATAGATCGGTAAATTACGATCGATCTGATTACCTGATGGTAAGCAAATCCTTTGGTGTTGTGGGATGGGACCAAAGGATTTACGAGTGCGTTGCCTTTGTGAGTAGAGTTACGGTGATTTAAGGATAGGGAAGGATGGGATGGGGGAAGAATTGAGACTTATGTTAAACATAAAATCATGCAGCCTTATGAGATAACTCGGTAAATGACAAGACAGATCGTCTGATATTAAACAACCGGCCGTCTATGGACACCTGCAACACTACAAATGCTTTGCCAGCAGTTAAAGATTGGTGTGAGAGCGATGAAATACGACGCAGGTGTTGTTTTATAGTGGTATTCTAGAAGGCCTAGGTATTTCTTGGTATATCTTATATCTTGGTTCTCCGGCCGAGGTGGTCCTATCGTGGAAAAGCATGACTCCTACATATTTTAAGTCTGTTTGACAAACAATCAAACAGATCATCTAGTCTTCTTTTAGTCTTGTTTTCCTTACCTCCTCAATCATGGACAAGTTCAGTTCGAACTTATAATAACATAATGCATTGTTCAAGAAAATCAAAAATGGTTATCATATCTACCGAACTCTTTGGTATTATTTTGACATTCCTTATAACAGTGTGCTGCCTGGAATTTAGCACAGCCAAACAAAGCACTACCAAACTAATGCAATTAAGCTTAAAACGTTTTTTATTTACAGAATGGCCTTAATTCTCATCCAACACGAAACAGGAATCCTCCCTTAGGAATCCTATCTGAACTAATCGGCAGTAATGGCAAAAGTCCGTTGATTGTGGTGCTAAGTCCCGATCGTGGCCCAAAAGTCTTCGGAGATAAAACACCTTCGTCACCACCAGCTCGAGATGAGTCAAATGGCTACCATCTACACAATAAGAACGACCGTCACATTCATAAACAAAATAATTTGGAAAATAATTACATTATGTATTTAAATCATTTATCCCGGAATGCCTATAATACAATAACTAATGATTTAATGAGGGTAAGAGTTTTTAAATTTTAATTTAAATATCAAGTTTTTCAAACCTTTTTTTTTATTGAATAGGTCGGCAAACGAGCAGACAGATTACCTGATGGTAAACAATCAGCGTCGCCCATGGACACTCGCAACGGAGGAGTAACGAGTGCGTTGCCGACCTTTTAGGAATTAGAGATTTGGAGATTTAGGGATTTAGGAGGGATTGGGGGAGGGGAAGGATTGGGCCTCCGGTAACCTCACTCACACGGCGAAACACAACGCTGTGGTTATTTCACGCCGGTTTTCTGTGAGGCCGTGGTATCACTCCGGTCGAGCCGACCCATTCGTACCGAAGCATGGCTCTCCCACACTTGAAACCTAACCTTCTGAGAGTTAAATAAAGTTGCAGTTTCACGACAGAGGATAATACTCTTGGCATTATTATCAGCCTATAAGTGCCCACTGCTGTGCAAAGGCCTCTTGTCACTTGGAGAGGGGTTTTAAGCATTGATCTTGATCTTGACTTGTAAAGAGACTGATCTCTGAGTTTGTTTGGCATCTTTTCTCAGAGTAGTCAGATAGAAAAAGCCGGCTTCATCTAGTTTTTAACATATAATTTGACGTGTAAATTTGCCGTTTTATGGCCTATTTGTTTCATTGATCACCACGCCCGCTCAATGCAGATTGCAATTGTGGATTGACGATTTCAAACCTATAATTGAGATTATAAGTCCATTTGCCTCAAAAATGACAAAACTTGCCTAATAACGGCAATTTTACACAAATTCGCACTTTTTTTACCATTACGAAACATCCACTTTCATTCAAGAAAAAAGACCCTCTATTTACCAGTCAATGACGTTCAGAGAAAGGCATCTGTGTCTGGCTTTTTTACTGGGTGAGAAAAAATTACTAAAAACAATCTTGACGACTAATCTTACTTGTGTCCTCATCCACGAGAGGAAGTGTCAGACTTATTGACAAAACACCACTCTGTTTAAACTTCTTCTTGTTTTGAATCCCAAAGATTAGGGTTATTTTTGTGAGGGGGGAATCATCACGTTCTTCTCCCGCCCAGAGTCGAGCGGAAGGGAGTGTCAGATTCTTACTGACTAAAAACCTACCACCACCCGTTCCTTCTCTTGCTCTGGGCTGAGGCCGCGGTGCTCTTGCCCCGCAACCCCGGCTGAACATCAGCCCCATAGGGGCCCGTCTGTGATGGTCTCGGCTCTGGTTCTGGTCGAGCAGCGAGTTACCTTAACTACCCTTACGGTGGCCGGAGATCGTCTCACGACCGATTAGCGATGTGCTGACCAGCGTATATTATTTTCTGCACAATTCTATTTGATAGATGTTCAGTATTAATATTCTTTTCTTTTTACAGACAAAGAAAAATCATTCAGACAAGCAAAAAGGCCATGACTCCAATCGATTGTACACAGCTGAACAATGTTCTGATTCAGAAAACTATAGTGAATGCGACGGAAACGCTGATAGCTGTGCGTAATTTTTAATAATTGTGTCTTAAGAACATAAAATAAAAAAAGATATTCAAAAATCATTTATTACAGTTGGACACCAAAAGGCAATTTTGATGTTAATACAATTTAATATAAAGTGTCAGTCTGTCGGACAGTCCTCTTAATGAAGCTATTTGTTTCATAAACTTGTCTTATCTTTACTATCATAACATTTACAAAATCAATTGACAAATACGGTTAACTCAAATGAACCATTTGAGCGCACTGCACATAATGTAAGAGCTCCAATGTGATTTGAAACTCGTAGAGACTTACTCGAATTAAAGTAAACTGTATATCTAAAAAATTGGCGCCATTGAGGTTTATGATCCTTTTATCCTTAGAGCTTTTTTGAGTTATATACTAGTTGTTTTTCAAACAAGTTAAACGCCCTAAACAACTTGATACCTCTCTTTTTCACGTCTGGTTAATTGATATTGATTTATAATGTGCTTTAATAAAAATAATATTCTAAATCGAAGAATGGTATTTCATTTTGATAATAGTTAACTGAGTTTTAAGATTTGAGGTAACGTGCAAAATGTTTTTATTTCAAGTGATAATTTTATTTTCTATAAAAAAACAATTTCGTTGTTAATTGTATTTTATGGTTTAAGGGAGCAAACGATCCCACCTTTTGGTAAGCAATCTGCGCCACTCTCAATATCAAAGATGTTACAAGTGCGTTTCCAGCCTTTTTATTAACAAAATATTTGATTGGATAATTTGATTGGAGAGGTGGCAAGACGGTATCAACACTAACCTTACTCACACGATGAAAAACAAAAAATAATTGTGTCACGCCGACTGATGATCAAACCATTCAGGTCATTTTCTGATCCATCCCATCTACTTTGTTCCTATCTGCTTGGTATAATCGTCCCTGATGGGTTCTTCTGGATTATATTAAAATTTAACTGCCACGCTGATTTCTTACCATCAGGTAATCTGCCTGCTCGTTTGCTAAATGACATGAAAAAAATTAAAAACCTTAAGAGCCTTAAGACCTTTATTGCAAAAACTAAAAATATACAACTTTAATTAAAGCAGGCTCTTTAAAACGTATACCTAACTGTCTTATACACATTTTAAACCTGGAAGTATAATTTTGATTGAAAGAAGATTTTAGATACAAATAGAAATATGATCTTCCGGCGGCGGTATTCCCGAACCGATACGACCTTCAAACATTCAAGAAACGAGCATATTCCTTCTTAAAAGCCCGGCAACGCACCTGTGACTCCTCTGGTGTTGCGGATGTCCATGGGCGGCGCCGATCACTTACCATCAGGTGATCCGTCTGCTCGGAAAAAAAAAGGAAAGCCAGATCTCTAGACCGGAAGTATCATCTATATGCCTCAAACAGCAATATGGCGGATTTTTAGCCGGTAAAGGGTTATGGTTCACCCCGACCAGGTCGAAAGAAATCATTTGATGACTAGCTTTTGCCCGCGACTTCGTTCGCGTGGAATAGTGACTTCCTACTGATTGTTGATATAATAAATCCTATGTCCTTTCTCGAGTTTCAAACTATGTCTGTACTAAATTTCACAGAAATCGGTTCAGTACTTTAGGCGTGAGAAAAGACAGACAGACCGACAGAGTTACTTTCGCATTTATAATATTAGTTTGGATTTTGCCTCAAAAAAGGTGACATCAGTGTATTTTCCTTCACTTCCCAATCAAATCCCAATTACTAGCCCAGAACTCTCTAGTGGCTAGACTCGGAAGGTTGGAGATACTGGGGTGGTTTTTTTTTATGTAGTAGGTCGGCAAACGAGCAGACGGATTACCTGATGGTAAGCAATCAGCACCGCCCATGGGCACCCGCAACGGAGGAGTTACGAGTGCGTTGCCGACCTTCGATTAGGAATTTGGAGATTTAGGGATTGAGGAGAGATTGGGGGAGGAGAAGGATTGAGCCTCCGGTAACCTCACTCACACGGTGAAACACACCCGCAACGAAGGAGTTACGAGTGCGTTGCCGACCTTTTAGGGATTAGGGATTTGGAGATTTAGGGATTAAGGAGGGATTGGGGGAGGAGAAGGATTGGGCCTCCGGTAACCTCACTCACACGGCGAAACACAACGCTGTGGTTGTTTATAGTAAGTAAAATAATATGATACTTCCTGTCGCCTTACCCAGGATGCGAGATGTCATAGAACGACTTCCACACTCAAGAAAAGGCCTGAGAATGGTAAGAATTTCTTTGTGTATCAATTAGATCATTCATAACATTACATTACTTAATAATACAATTGAGTATTCTATTCGTCAATGCGTCTTTGAAATGCAATAATAATTGTTTAGGAAGAAGATGAGAGACATACCAACAACTGTATTGTTCTAGTATGACGACATGAATCAGTGAATAATTAAAATCATCATCATCAAGGTGGAACATAAACAAAATCGTTCATTACGTTAATCGACATGTGGCTGGGTGCATGGATTTTGCACGTAATCGCTTCACTTTCAATAATCGTAAGGTTTTTATTTATATTTTTTTATGTAATACTTATCCTTTACTTTCATACTAAGGCTTATTTTAAAGTTTGTGTTTTAAATAAAACTATGCGTGTAGGTACTTTTATGATTTTATTCGAATTTTTAATTTAATTTTATTCTATTCTAATATTTATAGATCTTGACAGTGTTCTAAAAATATTTTTATTTTTATTATGTTTTTACCATGTAGGTGAACTTAATATCAAGCATTAAGTCTATAGTAGTGCATACACGATAGCCAACCAATTGTATTTTTTGTTAGAAATTAATTATTATTTTGATACAATTTAATTTATAGTTTTTAACCAACCCTTTCCTTCCTTTTTGCCCTTACGATATCCGATAAAGATTTCAATAGATTACTTACTCCATCTAAGACTTCACTATCTTAGAAGGCCTTCTTAAGGTTGATAACTAAGATAAGAAAGAGAAGTTCACTTATAACCTCAGCTTCTTACACCCGATGTATTTATTTTCCAGAATGTTTTGACATCCGGATACTCGATCCAACGAAGCCCTTATGATTTTATATCAGAATTAATGGAAACCGCTTCACCGGATTCTCTAATAGTGTACATAAGCCCAACTGATCAGACAGATACTTTTTTCGACGAACAAGAACAACAAAATGCACCTTCGCAATCAATCGAAGAAGAGCATTTGAATTTCGATCATAAAACAGCTAAATTGGAGAGTTCAAATAGTGTATATAATGCCTTGATAAATAATTTCCGTGTTCCTTTGAGGGTAAGTCGTTATATGATACGAAAGTTGTTTTTATGGCATAAGTCGGCAAACGAGCAGGCAGATTACCTGATGGTAAGCAATCAGCGCCGTCCATAGACATCCGTAACACCAAAGGAGTTACGAGTGAGATATATTACGACAGTGTTACCTAATGTCTAGATTCAGAATATTGTCTATTTCGTTGTCCTAAAAAAACCTTGTTGTAAGTCATCTTTTAACTAAAATATTCAATTCCTATCACCCTTATCTCCTTTCTTTTAACTTAAGACTATCACAGCTTTTTATTTAGGTACATAAATCGAAAGTAAATCTGTAATACCACCTTCAAACTCGTTTTCTTACTTAGTAGCGTCCCAGCACTAACTTGCATGAAACACTTACATTTAAAAAAAATACTCTCATACAATCGTTCTCCTCACAATAACTAATACAACAGAAATATGATTAGCAAAATTGGTCCAGGAGTGGCTGATCTATGCGCTTACCAACGCATTTTGAGATTTATGTTTTATATATCAATCTTTGTAGTTCTAGTACCTTTTCCTTGACTCAAAGCAGGAGGATCATCGAGGATGGTCGCATTAATTTGAAATTTGCAGGACGGTGATAGTAGAAACCCAGAAATACAAAAAGAAAAAGAACTCATGATCAGTAATGCACTGCGGTCAAGATGTGAAGCCATAATTCGATGTGAAGAAAAATGTGCAAAACCGGAGACAAAAAATGAAAACAGCACATGTTCTGGTATTGATTCAAAATTTTGTGAAGAAGATAGTGGGATGGCAACACCGAAATCAAATTGTCCAGAAAGATGTAAAGCGATCTTCGATCATTTGATAAATTGTCCACAATTAGTTACCAGTAAAAATAAGAAAGAACAAAAGAAAAAGAAAGGGAAGAAAAAGAAAGTATGTGGACTGTCTACAAAGAAGAGTTTGCCAGCAAGCTGGAAAATGGGTAACTATATTTACTGATGATAATAATGATTATTTATTTATGGTTAAATGTAAAGTACAGCAATAAGTTAGACATACAAAATGATCTGATACTGGCAGATATAATTGAGCACATATAAATATTAATCCTGACAGGATAATTTTCAACACAAAAAATCACAACAATTTATAATTGGGCTAAATATCTGGAATCTTTTTTATTTCTTATATTATTGAAATCTTAGAACTGCTAATCTTGTTTCATTTTTCTATTCAACACTTTTGAACTTTAAATTGAAATTCTCCACCTATTTGTTTTACCGAAATCGAAAATCCGCGTACCTAATGAAAGCTTCCGATAGTTTTTTTGACGCCAGACGATGCTTCGTTTGCATTGGGTCCAACCAGCTGTGTTTTTCAAAACAGCTATTATAACTTCTAATAGGACATTGTTTCAAGTGTCACAGTGTTCTTTCCCCTGTCACTTCATCATCTTCCTGCCCTTGTCCCGTTTTATTTGGGGTCGGCGCAATATGTTTTTTTTTTTCATTCTGTCCTGTCACTCGTCACGCTATCGCTAACTCCTCTGTCTTCCATATCACTTCTCACACAATCCATCCATATTTTCTTTGGTCTCCCTCTCCCTCTCCATCCATCCACATTTATACTCATAACTTTTTTTGTAACATGATTTTCATCCCTCCTTTTCACATGGCCATACCAAGACAAACGGTTCCCTTTCAACTTTCTTTCTCCTGGCACTTATCAAATAATAATTAAAGAGGTGATAAGTACACCTGATTTTGATTTCATTCAACTTTTTCATGTAATCACAGAACATACCACTGAGAGTATTCTCAACACAACCACGGAGTCTGAAACAGAAACTACAATAACGGCAACAAGCTTGCTCCCTTTTACACGAGTAACTGGCTTGAAGGCGGTAAAAAAGTTCAAAAAATGTTATGTTATGTTATGTTATATAACACCTATCGATAATTCAGAAAGAGATTCAGGCTACTATTTATGTAAAAAAATAATATAGACTTTGTATTATTAATTTATCGTAACTCAACGAAATTGCCTCATCAGTTTAATTAATAAGTTTCACAAATCCTTCTTCACTTCTCTTTAAAATTTTGTTTAGATACTGTGAATGTGCCTAAAAGATATTGACTACGTGTGTGGTTATTTTTTCCACATCTTTATTCTCATTTATTTCGTTTACTGTTTTGATATTCTAATCTGCATGTCGTCATTTTTGATGTTTACTAAATGTTTAATAAGTATAGTTAAAAATACAAAATAACGCAATATTTTTATTGATTAAACAGAGCAAGATATTGATGTTACTGTGACTCCTTTTTTCATGTAATGGGTCGGCAAAGACGCAGACAGATTATCTGATGGTAACCGATAGACACGATAGAAATCATTAGAAGACTTACGAGTGCCGGCTATTTGGATATAGGGTTTCGAAATTCAGGAATTGAGAAGGTATGGGGGGAGGGAAGGTTGGGCCTCTGGTAACCTCACTCACATGGCGAACCACAACGATGTGGATGTTTCACGCCAGTTTTCTGTGAGGTCGTGGTGTCATTCGAATCAAGCCGGCTCATTCTTGCCGATACATCGCTCTCCCAGATTTAAAATGTGGTTTTAAATAAAACTTTGTTTGTAGAATAACTTTTCATTATTTTTTATGTAAATCTAAACTAAATTAACTAAGCAAATTTTGAACAGCTTACAGATACTGAATAAGGTGGAGACGAAGAAGGCGTTGGTAGTCCAGATAACAATATTATTGATAATTATAGAAAGATTATGGAAACTTGTAAATTATTTCATAAAGATGAATTTCCCAGGAACAAATATAACAAATATTATAGAGAAAGTATAGAAAATAACACAAGAAGACTTAATCAAAACGTGGCTGACTTTAATATTATTGGACAAGATTATATTAGAGTTACAGCTAATGTTGAAGACTGATATAATAAATAAGCGAAGAATGTACTTCTTTTTGCCTGTAAGTCTCATTCTAAGCCCGAGTATAACTTTTTTTATGAATGTTTTAATTAAAATTTCTGAATTATATTATACTGATATTGTTTTTGCCTTTCAGAGGAGTTTATCGGCTGCACCATTTGAAATTAATATTTTAAATGTATTGACAGAACAAGTTAGGGATGATGAAAAAAACCGAATTGTCTTTGTGGATTGTTAATAAAAATTATGATCTAGACGATGATAAGTTTACCAAAGATGAGGACTGCTTTAAATGATATAGATAATGTTTCAATAAAAAAACAATTATCACAATTGACTGTACAGAATTTCGAGAGTAAGTAAATTTTCATAATAAGGATCACGCAGATCTTTCTACCAAAGTATTTTTTCTAATAACTGTGGTCGTTAATAAATTTATTAATAATCATATTAAAATGGTCCACCATAAATTTTTTTTCTTCTATATTGATGGTAAACGTAGAAATGTATGATTTGACTATTAAAAAACAAGAAAGTAAAAATAATAATGTCTTCCGTAAATCAGAAATAGAGCAAGTAAATATCATTCGCTCAGTCGCTGGGCAAACCGTGCTATTTTTAATAATATCTTATGCACATTATAGGACAACAAAGATCCTGAGAATGGTGCAGAATGAGCAGCAAAAGGTAATTAAGAGTAAGATGTTAAAAGAAGATTCAATGTAAAAAAAGATGTGCCCGAACTGAAGAAGAAAGCTCAAGAAATGAAAAGAGAAGTGCCAAAAAAGTTGTAAGGCGTTGTAAGATAATTTTCTGCAGTGTCTACCACCAGGCAATGAGAAGAATAGAAATAATTAAGCCTTGAACAAAGTAACTATAGAAATAGGGGCATAATTAATACCCTTATCTTAATACTAAAGAAGATTAGGCATTTTCATAAGTTAATTTTGATAATTATTTTAAGGAAGAAGCATTATGTAAACATTTAAATGTTCATAGTTGTAAAATCTATATTCTAATATATTATATGGTGAAACAGACTATTCTTTTTTATTTAACTACTCTTGGTTTATACTTCTATTGTCAAAAAGATTTATTTCAATCGGAAAAGAAACAGTTGTTTTTGAAATGTCAAAAAATAAACATAGTCTGTAAGCCTGACGTCATCTAGGCTGGAGCTAGTTTCGAAATGTAAATTCACGTCATAATCAATATTATACTCAAGAGTATCTCAAAGGATTGACGAGCTTGACCCGAAATGGACTTGTAACATTTATGTAATCATCAGGTTATAAGTGCCTACTGCTGAGCAAAGGCCTCTTCTCACAAGGAGAAAGTTTGAGCATTTATCACCACGCCTGCTCACGACATTTCTTTACTGGCGATTTCACACTTATAAAATTAATAAGTCTATGTTTTCTCTCTTCTTCTCTTAAGTGATGTCTTAGTTTCAATCATAGAAAGTATTATATGTATTATATCTCTCTATCTATCTATATATTATATAGGTTCTGGCCAGGCTTCGAGCACTTATAAAAACTTGGAGTTAAATGAACTAATGACTTTTGGCATAGATGTGTTCTGGTGTGAAAACTAAGTTTAGTAAAACGAACGTAGAATATCCTTCATCTAACTCTAAATGGGGTGGCAAAAGTTTCAGTTCTGTTTTATTAATTGTGAGAAAAGTGTAAATTTAGAAGAAACCGGTGATAGATATCTGACTAATATCAATTATAATTCCAAGAAGGTACGACGAATAAGAATAACGGCGTAGGTGGTGATTGGTCCAAAACCTGGCAAGTGGCAATATGAGTTTTGCCGAGTAAATGAGTTTTCGAATTATAAGATAGCCCAAAGGATGGAGGAAGCAAACTGAAGTGGCAGTGGGCAGGTCACATCTGTCGAAGAACCGATGGCCGTTGGAGTAGACGTGTTCTAGAGTGGAGACCACGTCTAGACAAACGTAGTGTAGGACGCCCTCCAGCTAGCTGGACTGACGACATCTGCAGGGGTTGGATGAGAAGAGCTAGTAGTGGTTGGATGAGAAGAGCTGACCATCGAGCTCAGTGCCGTGCAATTGGGGAGGCCTATGTCCAGCAGTGGACGAAATCAGGATGCTGATGATGAATTTTGCAATTGCAAGTCCGTCTTAAGCAAAGTCCATCTTAATGAAGAGTTTCATTTCTATCAGACACTTAGGGCATTATTACAAAACAAAGTTTTACTTTACTCTAAGTCTAAACCAATGAGACAGGTTTTGTATTTCAAATTGATGGTAGGTATTTTTGCGAGGGGAAAACACAACATCAAATGACTTCTCCCGCCCAGGGCCCTTCAGACTCCTATCACTTCCCTGAGGACACGGCGGGGCTCAGCCTAGGCAGGGCATGCCACCGTGTCCTCAGGTGAAAATAAGATTCAAAATACAAAACCTGACTCAATGGTTTTAACCTAGACTAAAGATCAATCTTGTTTTGTAGTAAGGGGGTTTGTTTTTCAAAAACGCACACTATATCTCAAGATACTTGAAATATTTTATTCAATGACAGCCTATTCTTTGACTTGCATACAAGCATTGAAACAATTTAATAGGTCTGTTAGATACTCGAATAGAATCACGGCGGTCTTTGTCCGTATAATTTTGTGATTTGAGATTTTTTTGATGCTAATTAAAAACTGCCAGATTCCGCCTTGGTGCGGCCGGGGTCTTAATATTTATACCTTAGAATGTAGCACGCAGTTAATAATAAAATTTAAAATTGAAAATGAAATGATAAAGTAATCAATAAAATGAATAAATAATAATCGAACAGAATTTCTTTTACCAAAACAAAACAATTGATAAAACAATAATGAAGTTTACAAAAGAAAAAATAACGATTAAAGTTTTTTATGAAGCGATAAGTTTACTTAATCAATATAAGGTAGACCAAGTTGCATTTGAAGAGTAGGCGTCAAAGAATAAAAATGACGGCTACCATGCCAAATCTGAAGCTTGTTATAAATATTATATTTCTGTTTTTGGTGACAGTAAGTGCTTTTGAATTTTCTTTAATATTTTAGTTAACCTGTTTCACCCTATATAGTTCTAATGATAAACTTTCATTATTTTTGAAATCTAATGTAATATTATTATTTTTATATGTAAAATTCGGCTTCACGTGTATTTAAGCGGCTTGACGGGTTTAAATATTTGTTTATGTATGCGTTTGAGTGGCGCCCTGGATGGTTTAGATTCACAATCAGCCCGGCAGGTGGCGCTGATTGCTTAAAAAAGCATGTGATCTCAGAAAGTGTCCTAACGATTTCGCTGAAATTTGCTAGGTCTTCGGGGGCAAGAAATCAGCCGCATCATCATTATCAATCAGGAGCAGTCTTATGTCTGGGAAAGCGCATGTTCCCGGGTTTACTCTGTCGCAATATTTTACGCATAACTCTGTCTGTCTGTCTGTATTTTCTTCATGCCTTAACTACTGAACCTATTTGTGTGAAATTTGGTACAGACTTAGTGTGGAACTCGAGAAAGGACATAAGATAGTTTTAAAACCAAAAATCTGCAGGAAGTCTGGAAGAATTCCAGGCGAACAAAGTCGCAGGCAAAATCTAGTAATTTCATATTTTTAATAAATGAAAATCAAAATATATTTATTTTCACCAACCCTTTAGGAGACTTCCTGCAGATTTTCGTTATAAAAATTATCCTATGTCCTTTCTCAAATTCTAAACTCTGTCTGTACCAAATTTCACACAAATCGGTTCAGTAGTTTAGGCGTGAAGACAAGACAGACAGAGTTACTTTCGCATTTATAATATTAGTTTGGATTAGCGATTATTATATTTAAATCGGAGTGTGTTTGTTTTCTTATCATAGCTAACATTTTGTTATTTTTATTTCTAGAATATCCAACCATCATTGTCTGACGAGTACTCAGGTGTTCTTTCAAACCTTTATAAAAAGGCTTCCGACCAGAATCGCCCATTGATTCTAGTTTTAGACAGCAACGCGAACCGTGGTCAGGATTACAATTATAACAAATATAGATCCCATCATTACAGAAACAATAATTACAAGTCCAACAGCTACTCGAATCAGCCTAGAAATGACGTAAGCTATGAAGAGACACGTAACAACGATGAAGTCTCATACCCATTCCTATATCTTCATCAATTGTCTGAACAGGTATGTATAACAACGGGTCCCAATTTATATCTAGTTCAATCAATTAAGCTGTAACTTAGATTCGTACAAAATTTAAACCACAAAAACTGCAAGTTTTGATGTCTTCGTTCAGAAACTATATTTTATCTATTTATTCGAATCATTTGAAGTTTATTGGAATATTTTAAAAAATATCAAAAATGTAGTCCTATAAACTTTTTTCCATAATATCGTCTTTTTCTCCAAGCTAACCTTTGCTTATTTCGATGATTTTATTAATGTTACATTGATTTGGTTACCACAGGTACAAAGCAAAAATTCGCCAGTTAACAAACAAAGATCCAACTATTACAATTCACGTAATGACAGAAACAACGATAAAAATAATAGAGAAGTGAGACCAAATTCTAGGAACGACCAGGACAGGAATAATAGAGACTATAAATACAGAAATGATGATTACAGGGGAGATGTAAATAACAAAAGAAATGTAAATTATAGAGGCAACAACAGATATTCTGGCTATCGTGGAAATAATAAAGGTTACAGTAGAGGTGAGAAAGATAATTACCGAGGCTATGCGGGAAGATATCACGATAAAGGTTATAGCTATAGAGGTCAAAATGATAGGGGCTCGTCAGATTCTGATTACAGAAATAAAAACAGAGGTAACAACTATAACAGAGAAAGCTACAGAGGTAACAGTGACGTTTATAGGAGCAATTATGACAAGACTAATTACAAAAGTTACAGAGGAAATTCTGACAGTCGGGCTACTTATGGAAATGATAATTACTACAAAGGAAACAATAGAGTTGACGACTACAACAGGGGTTCTAATGATAAAAATGACAACAAAGGGTATAACAGAGGTGAAAATGACTATAGATCCAAGAACAGGGGTAATGATAAATACAATAGAGGCTCTTACAGGGATGACGATGACTATAATAGAAATTCTTACAGGGGTGACGATGACTATAATAGAGTGTCTAATCGGGGTGACAATTATTATAACAAAGCCTCCTACAAAGGTGACAACTACTATAATAAGGCCTCTTACAAGGGTGACAACTACTATAATAAAGCCTCTTACAGGGGTGATAATAACTATAATAGAGACTCTTATAGAGGTGACAAAAACTACGATAGAGACTATAACAGGGGTAACAATAACTACTATGGAGGCCCTAACAGGGATAATTATAACTATAATAAAGGCTCTAACAGGGATGATTATAACTATAATAAAGGCTCTAACAGGGATGATTATAACTATAATAAAGGCTCTAACAGGGATGAAAATAACTATAATAGAGGGTCTAACAGGGTTGATAATGATTATAATAGAGACAATGACTACAATAGAGGTTCTAACAGGGATGATAATAATTATAACAGAGGCCCTAACAGAGTTGATAATGAATATAGGGGTAACAATTTGGGTGATAATGATTATAGAGGAGATAACAGAGTCGCTTCTGACTATAAAGGCGATGCTGGTAACTACAAGGGAGATAGAGATGACGATTCTTACAAAGGTGACCAAAAACAAGATAAACTAGAAAAAAACATCATGAAATCACCACTTGTAAAGACTCTAATGAAAATATCAAATGATTTGAGACAACGTGTTGTTGATTCCTGTGAAGATCCTAACGCACAGCAACAGACCACACCGGCAGTAGAGGTAACAGAAGATCCATGTGAAGATTCAAGGGATACCTGCGAAGATGACGGTGATAACGGCAATCAAAGCACAAGGGGGGAACTTCATACAAATGGGGGAATGTACTAAGAATGAATTGGTGTGTTAAATATATTATATTGTATGAGTATTTGTATCTTATTCCATGTTCACTATTCCCCGACCTGTTTCGTATGAATCGTCGTTACAATAACTAATTTACTTCCAGCTGGGGTAGCAAGTGCAAGCGCAAAATGTACGGCAGCAGCCTCGGCTTAGTCAGTTATGCTGTAATACGCTTATAAACAAAGGTGTCAATGTATCTGCTTTCTTTCTTGGCTATAATAACGTTATACGTTCTGCATTTACTTGGAATCTTAATAGGCTCATTCGGGTGTTACCTAAAACTGAAAGCACTATTCTTATTTTGGTGGTAAGGCTAGCATTCGCGGTGAGTGCTTACTAGCTCTTAATTGTATGTGCTGCAAGGCAATTTTTTATAGCTATCTCAGAGATACTCGTATCTTTCAGCTAGTTTAATTTAAATTTGATAACACATCAGCCGCCAATTATCGTTCAATGCATTACACATAGGAGTACACCCAAGAACAGTCATCGGCTGATGCAGGACTATTGTTAAATGTGGTAAACGTTGATAAGAAATGGGTTGCTACGGACAAGTGGACATGATATCTATCGAAGAATGTACTATGGCCCTTGCCCATGACCTATATCGATAAATCTTTTCATACTCTTGCAAATCTTCTCTGAAGTCAGCTAATTAAGGCAAGAATGAAGTAGAAGGGTTTGTTCCTCATCAGTGACCAATCGAGCGAGGCCTAACCGGAGATGAAGAACAAGACACCTCTCGGTACCTTATTATTATAAGCATTGATTTTTTTGAGATTGGAAATCATCATATATGGACACACAATCTGACCCTCTCGCTTAATCTTATAGGAAGTGATTTTAACTAACTTAAAACCACCCCGATCCTTCTTCTGCTCCAGCCTGGGGCCGCGGTGCTTGACCCACAACCCCGAGATTGTGTAAAAAGTTGCGAAACCGTTAATTTTACCATAAACAATCACTATAATGTCATTTTGACGTAACAATTTGACTTTTGACGCAAAAGGCTTGCGTGGTGTAATTGTTAGGTTTTGAATGAAATCTTCGATTACCGTAGGTTAATTTTTAATTTTTGATACGAGGTATTTTATAAAATAAAGATCGGAATTTTGGTAACAGTGATTGACATTTTGATGTTCTGCCATATAGGATTTTAATACCTGAATTTGGAGATCTTTCACAGTATGTATGTACTGCACTTTGATCAGGAATTTCTTTCTATACCTAACAAATTGAATGATTGTGTATCGGGTTCTGTTATCGGATAGGTCAGTGTTATTAGGCTTTTCAGTTTTGAAAACTTCAATCATTTCGTGTTTTGGCAGAGAACCTATTGCTGTTCATAGCTTTATCTTTTTAAACAAAATATATTGAAAGTAATGACTTACTCACGCAAATGTACTAAGAAAAGTTCTGCTAATTTCAAGGCCCAACGGAACTTTTAAGTCTCAGTGCATAGACGTGAGTAAGTTTTTTTTCAATACATTAAGCATGTCTTAGTATTTGAGTATTTTAATAAACCTTTCCTACTGTTAGTAAGCGTAAGTGTTATTTAAAATTTAATATCTAATATTATGAATTGTCTGTCAAAAGGATAATTGAATAAATATTTACTGGAGCTTAAAAACATTTTGTATTCAATATGAACACAATGATCACGCAGTGCCTTACAGATAAATGGCATAATACTAAATCCATAAATATCGGTTCTTGAAATAAGCCTTTTGCTCGTTTCAAACTTCCTCTTAGATGCCAATGTTGCATTTGAATACACAAATATTTCATATTTATTTAGTTCTTTCACAATATATTGTATGTATACTGGTTACAATATTTTTATATATTAAAAGCATACCTTTTCATAATGTGGCAATTGCAGTTTTAAAGATGACTCCACCTAAAGACAACAAACAGGGGCAAGATCAAACAGATTCTCACAACAAACAAAATGAAGTAAGCCAAGAAGATGCTGTAAGTAAATTTTGCCTTAATTCTGTACACGCTATTATAACAACTATTTGAGGAGTGACTAGGAAGAAACCACTTCAAACTGACACGGAAGCTTGGGTAAGTACTTGTTTCGGATCTGGCGGGAGGAAATGCCCAGGCGTGGTCATCACGAAGACCACCACTACTAGAGGATAATATGGAGGTGCGCCCTGCTTGGGCTGAGCACCGCCGTTTCCTCAGGGAAGTAAGTGATCGGCGGCAGCGACCTCTCACGTTGTTCAGTTGAGGCTATATGGTGCGAAGCAATAGGAACTAGGAAGCCGTGTACCCTTTCTGCAAAGCAGTGATGGTCGCAAGAAGAAGGCAGAGCGAGTGAGACAATTACACTACGCATGTCCCAGCCGCTGTGATTTATAAAATTGTTTCGATACTGAGAATACTTCTGTTAATAAATCTAAGATTCCAAAAACTAAAACGAAAATTTATAATATAACACAACACACACACGTAACACACACTTACCCAAATTCACTTTTCAGGCAGCTGACCCAAACTCACGCTCTCCAACTGCAGGACCGTCTGGAACATCAGCTCCTAGAACAGAAACGACAAATGCGCCAACTACTCCAACAAGTTCTTCATCAGCCGTGCCTGGACCTTCAACGGCTCCTGGCGAAACTGAACATATTACATTTGGTTCAACACCCGTTAGACAAACTTCTACCGGAACTCTCACTAGGGTCCCATTGCCAAGAACAACTAGTGACCGATCAACAACCAGTGCGCCTTTATTAGACACTGGTCCGTCAAGAGTTGCCTCTTCAGCAGCTGGTTCTTCAGCTTACAGTGCTGAACTAGCCACGTACAGTGAACCTCCTGGTAACTCTAGATATTCAAGCAGACCTGGTTCATCAAGATATATATCAACGATTCAAAATAGTAGGTTTAGTGACACGCCTTATTCAAGTCGAAGTGGTAGTCAAGCGGACTATGAACGGAGAAGGCAAGAAGACTTAAGCAGAGGACAATTTCAATGGGAACAAGGAGTAAGTTATGATAATACTCTAAACAAGCTCCTTCACACATCTTGTTTTGAATAGCAAATTGTCGTTTATTGTGCTACCTTCATTGTGTATTGTACTACATACCTTGATTTAAAATTTCTCATCTACAAACTCGAAACCGTGCTGCCAATTTGACCCAGCTGGTCGTGTTTTGTCATCAACCTTTTCTACGGTGTTTCTTTGGTGTCCGGAATGTGAAATTGCTACTTCTTTAATTATCGATATTCCAGAGAAGTCGATCGCCCAGTGTATTTACTTTGGACAGAAAATTGCATTATTACGTTGGAAAACGAGAGAGTACTGCGTATCAGTACTATCCTGGAACTGAGAGAACTGATTTTGATTACATCTCTGAAAGGACGGACATGTACACTACGAAGTAAGTTCATCTGAAATTCTTTAAAGTTAGAGCGAGTAGAATTTTTACGGTCAACAATACGCGGTATAGAAACTTCTAGAGTCATTTGCGTCCTCTCAAATGTAAGGACAACTGACATGTAGATGTGAAAGTTGATTGCCTTATGATGACTACCATAAGAGAAAAACAAAAAAAAAATGGTATTCTTTGATTTGTACAAACTGTAAATCATGGACATCAGACAGCACATAAAAATGTTGGAAGAAACGAAGGCGGACTTCAAAAGGAATGAAGTTAAGCATCATGTGAGTGAGGTTACCAGAGGCCTAATCCTACCCCTTCCCCAATCCCGAAATATCCAAAACCCTAATCCCGTAAAGGTCAGCAACGCATTCATAACGACTCCGTTGTGGTAGCTGTCCACTGCGGCCCTGATTATTTAGACCCAACATATCACCTACCCAAAGATCATCATCATCATCAGCCGGAAGATGTCCACTGCTGGACAAAGATACAGTTTGTTTAAACTTTATCATACATCAATAGAGTAGAAGATATACTTAATTATGATTTCATGAAACATATTATATTTTGGCAGTCTTGTCGAGTCAACTGCTCATTTGATAAAAGGCAGCGTGGGTGCTGGAGTGCTGACGATGCACGAAGCGTACATGATTGGAGGAATGTGGACTTCAGTTGTTGTTACGATAATCTCCGGACTACTGATCGCTTACACTATGTTTGTAAGTATTAACGATCTTTCTTCTACCTTTTAAGTTGGTTTGTTAGTTTTCAAAACTCTTGATGCCTGTTTCCCCACCTTGGTATAACCATATCACAAATCGAGTACTATATTCAAATTTATGTTTTGAAACAAGGAATGCCTTTGACTGATCAGACTGATGTTACAATAGCGAAATAATTTCTTTTCTGCAGATGTTAATAAGGTCAGCGCAAAAAATGTATTGTAGGTTAAGGATATCGAAGTTATCGTACCCTGATTTGGCTGAAGCTGCTGCAGCGACTGCCCCTTGGGCCCGTGTCAGAAAATTCAGCAAATTATTTAGGTGAGTAGTGGATCAAGCATTATTTAATGAGTAGCGCACGCCTAACGTCAACAGACGTCGCGGCAGGCCCAAATGAAGATGGTGGGATCAGCTTGACGCCTATAGCAAGAATTTGTCGGAGATAACTTGGCTCAAAGAAGATGGAAGAAAGGCGGGGACTTAGAGAGGCATTGGGACGATCACAACTAACAATTATAAAATTACATTAATATTGAATGCTCTGTCGATAGTTTGGGTATAAATGCAGTTAGTCTAGAGTTCATGGTCTCCCATAGGAAAAAGGATGCTAATATTTATAAACGCTGCTAATATTATCTGCATAGGCGCATACATTGGCAGGACTTTGTTCAGCAATAAAAGTTGTATGGTTTCCTGATAATCGTGACGATGAATGTAAATCAGGTAGATCTATGAACAGTCTTTTAAATTTCTCAGATAACCACTTATGTGAAAATCAATTTTCAGATACATAGTCGACTGCACTATATTTCTGGAAATGTGTGGAACATGTTGCATTTACCAAATCATAATCGCGTTCACGCTGAAACAGGTAATCACGTGATTTAACATTTCATTCAGAATCTTGGCCTTCGTCATTGAATTTTTGGAACTGTCGAGAATGAATTGTAAACTCAACGATTATTGGGTTTCTTTGATTTTATTTTTTACCAGAAAGTTAGTAGTCTGGCAGATATTCGTAGACAGAGTATCTGAAATTCCCACATTTGAAAGGGATTTTTTTTGACTAATAATTGCATTGGTTTTGTTTGTGTCGTTGGTTGAATAGAGCAAGCATGACTACGAAGCAGAGCTAAGCCTAGTGACAAAAATGCAACAAAGGATGAAATGTGAATTTTGTCCTACCAATATTTTAATCAGGACAATTTTGAAGCCAAGAGCTAGTATTGTGTAAATACTACCTCTCCTATTCGAGATAAAAACTATGATATTCAAGTATTTTCAATACCATTGAAGAACATCAGATGTCATTAAATAAATTTAAACCTGTTCACAGATGACAGAAGGCCTAAATAATTCGTTGAATAATAATGTCCTGTCTTCATTGTTCATGGACATACGGACGTACATTTTGATGAGTGCCCCTTTATTAATTCCGCTGTGCCTTATCAGGAGTATCAAGTTCATGGCTCCGTTTTCTATGTTGGCAGACATTTTTGTTGGTAAGTATATTTTTAATTTGAAGTTGATTTTTATTTATTTATGTTATTCTCAACGTTTAAGCATGAAGCTCGGAGCGGAATGCTATATAAAAAATATATAAAGGAAACAACGATAGTAAAATATTTTTTGCACACATTTTGCGTGAGTGCAACAAAAAAAGTCAAGCTCTCATCCATGTTCGGGCAAACTTTATTACAGACCTTCGGTTTCCGAAAATTATTTGTAACTATTTACTTCAATGCGTTCTTACCCTCTGCTTAGCTACTTTCGAATGTAGAGTGATATTTTATAACCTAAATCCATTCCCGATAAATGGCCTATCCAATACAAAAAGAATGGTTCAATTTGGACAGTTAGTTTCACAAATTAACGCATTCCAATTAACTATTAAACAAACTTCAGCTTTATTGTATCAAATTATAGATTCAAAGTTTGTTTTTTCAGCCATATGTGTATTGACAACATTGTACTACAGTCTTATGTCATTGAATGATGACATTATGGACAGACCAGCCTGGAAAGACTTCCAAGGTTTCGTCAAGATTTGTGCTATAAGTTTGTACAGTACATCTGGAATTTGTGTTGCTCTTCCAATTGAGAATCACATGAGGAGGCCACGCCAGTTTCCTTATGCATTGAAACAGGGTAAGACAGAATTAAAAAAAAACAAGTTGAGGTACACAAGTAATGAGTTAATCTTTTCGTTAGGTCGGCGAACGACGAAACGGATCACCTGATGGTTAACGATCAGCGCCGATGATGGACTACTGCATCACCAAAAAGCTACAATTCTAGTCCTGGCTTTTCGTCAGGAATTCGAGAATTGGAGATTAGGGACGGGGGACAAAGACTGGGCCTCTGGTAACCTGGAAACCGTGTTATAACAGCCGTAGAATCGGCCCAAAAAAACGCCCACGTGGTTGGCCTACCGTAGTGTAGGATTTTTCTTCAATAATTTCTGCCGGCAGTCAAATGCTAAATTAATTAATGATTCCCTGGTACACATTTTTATCTTTCAGCGACGATAATAGTGGTGATTTTAACGGTTTTGACTGGAGTTTTCGGTTACTGGGCTTGGGGAGAAGGATGTAAAAGTCCAATCACAGTACACATGCCAATGAACACGTAAGTTTTTATGCCATAACTAGTAGGGTAATTGTTGGGTACCTCATCACTCACTCAAATAAGGAGGTGGTCCATACTTATGTACATACGTACTCGTATAAAAATAACTGATACTGGGACATACTAAATAAGTTAATTAATCAAATTACTTACGTGAATGGTCCGAAGTAAAATCGATTAGCCTCAAGTTACACTGGGATTAATAATCATAAGTCATGTGCAAATCAGCCATTTAGGTACTTTCCTAGGTCAAAAATAAATTAATTCGACATTGCAATACAATAAAATATTGTAAAATACCTATACTTTTATTTGTTGATCTGTCGATACACTAAAGTTTTGATATTTTATACGCTAAGAAAATTGGTCAAATAGATGCTCTCCAACCTCACAAGCGCCATACCGTCAACCACAGAGCAAGGATAGCTAGCCGTCCGACCCAAGCGGATGGTGCGTAGCGTTTTGCAAGCGCCTTGAAGACTACACAAATGAGGCCTAATAAGGTTGATATTCAGCCAGGGTTACGAGTCAAGTGGAATTATACACCGTGGCCTGGAGCAGAAGAATGACCTGATGGTAAGCAACCAGCGCCGCCCATGGACACCTGCAACTTGAAAGGAGTTACGAGTGCGTTGCCTGCCTTTTAGGGATAAGGGTTTCAGATATTTGTGGATTGGGAAGAGATGGGGAGAGAGGGAGGGATTGGGCCTCCAGTAACCTCACTCACACGGCGAAATACGGTGAGGACGTGGTATGAATCCAGTCGAACCGACCCATTCGTGCCCAAGCTTGGCTCTCCTACACGTCAACACAAAATTATACTCCTCGTTATTTTCTTCAGATTTACGACCATCCTTCAGTTCCTTCTTGTGTTGATGTTGAGCACTACATTTGCTGTACAATTCTGGGTGCCCTTTCGAATAGTCTGGCATTACATCGTGAAGAAATATAAACAGTATGTACCTTAAGCTTTAGCTAAGAATTTACTATAAAATTCTATGTTATGTTCTAAAATTTGAATTATCGACAAAGAAGGCTTTATTACTTGATATCGTTTTACTTTCAGTAAACAAGCTGCATGGGAACGACTTTTCCGTTTAGTAATGGCTATTATATTGACGTGTGTTACCATGATATTTCCCTTTCTCATACCAGCTGTGGTTTTCGTAAGTATAAACTCCTTGTTTTAGCTCTGTTCTTCTCGCTGGCGAAATAGGCGAATAAGAGACAACATAATTATCATTCAAGAATCACTGGGTAGCAGTGTTTTTAATAAATTTATTGAACTACTATCTCCAAACCAACCCCTCTTTTATAGAGGAGACCTGGGCTATTGCCCAGTGGATACACACGGGTTCATCACGATGATAAAGTGTAGGTATAAAGATTTAAACCCTTTGCGTGTCATGCCCTGGCTGAGGGCCCTAACTTAGAAGCCACCGCAGGGATAAGTCCGATTAAGCAGCTGAACTACGATGGTCTTATAAAAAAAGCATGTCACGTGCAATTATGTGCTGCTGGTCTGATCTGGAATAGGAGTAGTAAAGAGATGGTTTTTAGCAAGTAAAAGAGCCTGTCACTCGCCTCACCTTCGCCCAACCAGGTCGAGAGAAGTTATAGGATGATTTCCCCCCTCAAAAAGAAACCTTTAATCAAAGGATGTTATGCTTTTTTCACTAAACAAAATGAGTTGTCTCCTCGAACAGTTTTGTGACTCAGCTGTATTGCCTTAATCATTATGGTTTGTTGCAGCTAGGACAATTCTGTTTAGGTTTCATTGGACTAGTGTTTCCAGCTTTTATAGAGCTCATGGTGGATTGGGAAGAAACGCTTTATGAAAAAACGGCCAGGTAAGTTATATTACGATTTTTCTAAAGTACTTAAAGAAAACTGCTAACAGCAGAGGCATTTTCATCATCGAGCGCGATGCTGACCGTGTATGATACGACCAGGAACGACCTTCTTGATTTAAAACTCTAACTTACAAGACAATCTGGAAATCTTACTTTTACTAATATTATAAATGCGAAAGTTACGATGTTGGGATGCTTGTTACTCAATTACGCCAAAATGGCTGAAAGGGTCTGGATGAAATTTGGCACAGGCATAAGATACACTTTGAAATAGGACATAGGCTACTTTTTATCAACATACCACGTGGGTGAAGCTGCGGGTGGAAGCTAGCAAATATATGTTCAGACAACTGTTTCCTAAGTTAGGAAAAGGGTAGATGCTCCGACAGCCATATGATCATGCCTAGCGGGCCACTGACCAATAGTGATACCTATTGAGATTTTTTGTCCATGTTCAATAGGCCACATATTTTACTTGCGTCTTCAGTTGATTTTACAAACTCATGCTGTGGGATGACACCGAACGTCATGACCTCCGTGATGCAGGTTGTCATCAGTTAATTTTATTGTTGGATTTTTGGTGCCTCACTATCACCGTTCTGACCTTTACTTTTGTTTTTCCTTCTAGCGAGAAATTTTGCAGTAAAACCAAGAACTTTGTTCTGGTTTTTCTAGGTATAATGATTAGTTTATCTTCGATTTATTCTGTGTCAGCACAAAGTATATAAATTCTTTCAGAAGAATTAGAAGAAAACGAAGCAGGAATTTAATATTCATGAGAGGTTTTTATGGCTCTTGTGTGATTTTATTTTTATTGCCAAAACAGACTTTATTAGTTCATGTGCATTTTATGATTTATACACTTTTTGTAAATAATAAAATTATGTAAATAAATACGTATTTTTTGTATGAATAAAATGTTTATTTCTATTTCATTGTGATTTTATTTAAATTTGGAACGTTTGTACTAATTTCAAGTTAGATGCTGAATTACTCTTTTTAATGTCATAGGTCTGCAAACGAGCAGACGAACCACATGATGGTAAGCAATTAGCACCGCCCATGGACACTCGTATTAACAAAGGAGTTACTACTTGTGCGTTGCTGCACTCTTGTTGATTATTAGAAATTTTAGGAAACAGATTAAAGGATTGAGGATAGGTAGGAAGGATTGGGTCTCCGGTAACTTCACTCACACGGCGAAATACAACGTTAGTGGTATCACTTCGGTCAAGCCGGCCCATTCGTTTCAAAATGTGGTAGAGCCGAGCTTGCCATAATAAGCTAATTAAAAAAAATATAAATGTTACGCCGACGCAGCAAACGAATGTTATGTCAACTGTCGTGTTAAAATTGCGTTGCTGAATTTTTGGGGATTAGTATTTTGGAGATTTGGGGATTGGGGGACGTTAAGGAATGGGCCTCCAGTAACCTCGCCTACACGATGAAACACAACGCTATAGTAGTTTTACGTCGGATTTCTGTGAGGCCGTGGTATCACTCCGGTCGAGCCGACCAATTCGTGCCGAAGTATGACTCTTCCACACTTAGTAAGCACAATGGCTGGCAATGCACTTGCAACTTTTCTTTTCGTTCATAGCTTACTATCAAATGATTCGTCTGTACGTTTATCGATCTATCGCTTAGGAAAATATACAAATTACCATCACGCCATAGTTAAAGGTTTTAAAAACAAACAACTGTCCTTATAATTATAGTGTGCATAAACACGAAATCAGTAGAATGTGGAACAACAGTTATCATTACCGTTTAATAGCACCTAGGGACTGAGCTAGGGTGGCCATGATTGCTGGATATACCACAATATGTCCTAAAACTGTGACCAGTTATCGAAGGATAGACAGAAACTTCCTCAAAAGTTGTTTTTGCAGCTTCTTGATTTTACTCTCAAGGATGTGAAGGTAAAATCAATGGAATATATCGGCAAATAAGCAAACGGTTCCCCTGATGATATGTAGTAATCAGCGCCGCCTGCAATACCGAATGAAACACATTTTTTTTTTTAAAGTGATAGGTCGGCAAACGAGCAGACGGTTACCTGATGGTAAGCAATCAGCGCCGCCCATGGACACTCGCAACGGAGGAGTTACGAGTGCGTTGCCGACCTTTTAGGGATTAGGGATTAGGAGATTTAGGGATTGAGGAGGGATTGGGGAAGGGGAAGGATTGGGCCTCCGGTAACCTCACTCACACGGCGAAACACAACGCAGTGGTTATTTCACGCCGGTTTTCTGTGAGGCCGTGGTATCACTCCGGTCGAGCCGACCCATTCGTGCCGAAGCATGGCTCTCCCACACTATGGGTTATTGAGGATTGGGGGATTTGGGGATTGTGGAAGGGAAGGGCGACTAGTAATCTCACTCACGCAGCGAAACATGGCAAGCTTTGTTTCACTCCAATTCTGACGTGCATGCAAAAGCATAGCTCACCCACACCTATAGTCAATTTATTTAAAATCAGTCTCATTCCACATACGAAGAAGGTCACACTACAAGTACAATCACATAATCCAACCATAATAGCCATACGGTCACAAAGTCATGGAAACTTAGCAACAGTTACTGTAATGGTTTAGTTCCACATATCTGTTGTACTGAATATTGTTATAGACCTTCCAAAGGGCTTAAGGACACAATCAAAAGTAAACATTAAGGTGCTTACAAACTTGAGCCTTTATTTGGAGCGAGCGTACTTCCGAAGGTTATGTTACAGAAATGTACAATAGTGTTCCTCAATTTTCTTTTTTTATTTGTTTTTTTTTTACTCCGGATAATTTTCATAACAAATTTTGTTATAAGTAAACCAGCAGACTATTTTCGTGATTGACAGAAATCAGCGCCGTCCATGGACATCTGCAAAATCAGAAAAGTTATAGGTATGAGCCCACTGCTTTGCAAAAACTTCTTTTTAACCACCACGTTTGCTCAAGGCAGATTAGCAGTCTCAAACTTAAGTGCATATGATAACTCTAGGTTTCCTCACGATTGAAAATATGATCTCCCTCCACAATAAGCGCAGGTCTGCGTACGGCGCGGAGCATTCCGCGCGCCTCAAAGATCCAATAGACTACCACAAACGGGCCCTAACAGGGCTGCCAGGGTTGCGGGATAAGCGCAATGAGACATCGCGGCCTCGGCCTAGAGCAGAAGAAGGAACGGGGGTCTTAGTTAGTAAGAGTCTTGTACTCCCTCTCGCCTCACCCTGGGCGGGACAAGTCATTTGATGATTTGACAAGACAAAAAACCCGTTCGGGGAATAAATCGTGCGCTATGATGATGTTATTATTTAGATATACCGCAAACATGTCGTGGCCGACACGAGTTCGTCAAATGATTACACTTTATTGGTACAATCGACGCATGACGGGGGAATAACAATGCAAATTCTATTGGTGCGGTATGTACGCTCGCCATAAGTTTAGACTTTGTCGGACAATAAAAAATAAATTTTAAAATTAACATTTGCAATTGAATGTAAATACAGTATTTTGTTTGATGGGTTAATATTTATGTATATTTTTATATGATGAGGTGGCCAAGGTGGGGTTTAAACCAACCGAAGCCGTTCATTGATAACGACAACACCAGAGACGAGTGCGTTGCAGGCCTTGAGGTTTTGGGTTTTGGGGACTTAGTATAAAAATGTATAAAATGAACTCTATTTAGTGGCTCATAGTTCATAAAATATCCTATTATTATTTAATTTTATTCACGGTGCCTTACAAAAATACATAAAGTGCAAAAGTTCTATTTAAAAAATGACATAAAGTTACTGAATGTAAGATACTGTAATGAATTGAGTTAGAAGTGAATGTTGACCTCAACACAATTAGATAAGGGCTAGTGACAGACATGACACTATTTTTCCAATTAACAAGAACTAATTAATTAGTTCTAGGTTTTATTTCTGAGTCATGTGGTGATAATGGCGTAAAAACTTTTGTAGATTACTCCACTTCACGTGGTTGTCATAAAAACCGTCGGAAGAGCAGAACATTTATCGATTTCTGCCAGTCCACCAATCAGAACCAGATCCAAGCCTATGGTGTGCAGTGATCTGCGCACGTCTCAGAGATCCAACATACCACAAAAGGCATGATGCTGAGGCCCAGGTGGTGGATCAAGCGCAATAATGTATCACGGCTTTAGCCTGGAGCAAAAGAAGGAGCGGGGTGTTTTTTTTTTAGTAGGAATTTGCCACTGCCGGCCTGGCTTGCGAAGTGACAGCTGTGCAACATGTCGCGGGTTGATTCCTACACGGAACAACCCTTTGTGTGATCCGTTAATTGTTGTTTCGAGTGGCACCCACTATACAGAAGAAATATATAAATGCGAGAAGGTTTTTCTTAAAAAAATCACCTGCGTTTCGTAACAATAAAAACAAATATGTGGTCACCCTACAACTCAGTGCGGAGGCTAATATAAAGTAATGGACATATTGTGCCTACACCACTGCTGCTGCATAGTTTCTGTGTGTATGCTATCGACAATAATCAATGTCCTCA